AGTGCGGAGTCTAAGTACCGGAGCACTTGTTCACCAGGGCCCCTGATGGTGGGGATGGACTTGGAGCGCTCCGGGACCAGGTCGCAGCTACCGGGTATCTCTACCAGAGGTAGAGGAGTCTGCCAGAGGCTCCTGTGGGTTAAGAGTCTGATGTGAGGGAGCCCGGGGATCCCTGAGGGATGGATGGATGAGCAAGATCAGAGTCAGACAGGCCGTGCCGGTAACTAGGGGGTCGGTGCAGTACAAGACGGTAGGCAAAGGATAGTTGGGTCACACACAGGGTCAATACCAGAAGATCAGATCTATAAGGAGCATCCAGGAGCAGAGTCAGGCAAGCCAAAGGGTCAGGACAAGAGAAGGCAACAAGGTCAGACAATCCAGATCAGAGTACTCACAACACAGGCAACAGGATACGCAAAGACCATTGGGCAACATGTGTCTGTTCAGGCCTGGTTTAAGTAGCCCGCCCTGCACCTGACAGAGGCAGCCTAGGTCCTAGTGCCTGCCCAGTACTGTCATAGACGACGGGTGCGCCTGGGTCCTAGTGCCCTGCTGCCTGCATGTCTTGACAGACACCTATGCATGTGTAGACCCATGTGTCACGATGGTCCCTGACAACCAGATAGGGAGACACCATATAACAAGCTGTAAAATGAATTTCTCTAAAATAGCAGCAGGATCAGTGATACAATTCCCAGTCGAGGATTTGAGTTCTGGAATTACTGTCTGATAGCAGGGATCTACCAACAGGTTAGCCAGGAGCCTCCCATTTTTGTCACTAAACTCAAAAAGGTGACTGGTCAACCGTTTATTATCAGAATGCGTCAAAGTAGTATAATGAACATTCAAATCTCATCTGGTACTTGTCAGACGAGATGCCTCAGAGTGCAAAGCTGCAGTGAACTTTGCTGCAGTTCAAATGAACTGTTTGAGAGGCATACTCTCTACGGATGGTCTTAACTGAAGAAATGTATCCCCATCTAGTATGAGCCTTACAAGCCTCCCATACTGCTGCAGGGGAAGCTGTACCCTCATTGGAGTTAACTTAGGGCATACCAATTCCTTTATCTTAGGGTCCTGGATCCAATGTGAGGCTAACCTCCAGCATCCCGGATCCTGATGGATCCCCAAGGCCAGATGCACCTCTAAGGGCAAATGGTCCGAGAGACCCGCCGGAAGGTAAACACTTCCCCTTTAACAACAAACATCCCAGGCTGCCCTGAGTAACAGGAAGTTCAAGCCCTTGCATCAAGAAACATGGTGAAGACTGAGGTTCTGATCAGACTGGTGAGGCCAAGACCATACCTCTACAGTTCTGCTGATTCACAAGAATGGTAGAAAAAAAAAGACCAAGGATTAGAGATGAGCGAATCGAAGTAGGCGAAGTGGAATTCGTTTCGAATATTAGGAAAATTCCGTCGAATCCGAAAATAAGCAGACTTCGGATGCGCGAATCGAAATTTTTCCTAAAATGGCGGCGACATGTGCGGCGACGGAACGGGGATGTCTGGGAAGGCGCGCAGACAAGGCGCACTGACCCATAATGCATTCATTCATGACATGTGATCGCATTAGCCAATCAGCAGCCAGCCAGCCAGCACAGTGTAATGGTCGAGCTATAAATGGCGGCCATTTTAGAATTCTCCATTTGCCTCCAGTCATTCAACAGAGGCAGACCTGGCTGTATTCAGGGAGAGAGTTAGGGACAGAGAAACGTTACTTAGGGACACAGAAACGTTAGTTAGGGCCACAGAATCGTTACTTAGGGCCACAGAAACGTTACTTAGGGCCACAGAAACGTTACGCCACAGAATCGTTAGTTAGGGCCACAGAAACGTTACTTAGGGACACAGAATTGTTACTCAGGGACAGACAGAATTGTTACTGAGGGATACAGAATTGTTACTGAGGGCCACAGAATCGTTACTTAGGGCCACAGAAACGTTACTTAGGGCCACAGAATTGTTACTTAGGGACAGACACAGAATTGTTACTGAGGGACACAGATTTGTTACTGAGGGCCACAGAATCGTTACTTAGGGCCACAGAATTGTTACTTAGGGACAGACACAGAATTGTTACTGAGGGACACAGATTTGTTACTGAGGGCCACAGAATCGTTACTTAGGGCCACAGAAACGTTACTTAGGGCCACAGAAACGTTACTTAGGGCCACAGAATTGTTACTTGAGGGACACAGAATTGTTACTGAGGGACACAGATTGTTACTAGGGCCACAGAACCGTTACTTAGGGCCACAGAAACGTTACTTAGGGCCACAGAATTGTTAACTTAGGGGACACAGATTGTTACTGAGGGCCACAGAATGTTACTTAGGGCCACAGAAACGTTACTTTAGGGCCACAGAATCGTTACTTAGGGCCACAGAAACGTTACTTAGAGGGACACAGAATTGTTACTCAGGGACAGACACAGAATTGTTACTGAGGGATCAGAATTGTTACTGAGGGCCACAGAATCGTTACTTAGGGCCACAGAAACGTTACTTAGGGCCACAGAAACGTTACTTAGGGCCACAGAATTGTTACTTAGGGACAGACACAGAATTGTTATTGAGGGACACAGAATTGTTACTGAGGGCCACAGAACCGTTACTTAGGGCCACAGAAACGTTACTTAGGGCCACAGAATTGTTACTTAGGGACAGACACAGAATTGTTACTGAGGGACACAGATTTGTTACTGAGGGCCACAGAAACGTTACTTAGGGCCACAGAAACGTTACTTAGGGCCACAGAATCGTTACTTAGGGCCACAGAAACGTTACTTAGGGCCACAGAAACGTTACTTAGGGCCACAGAATTGTTACTTAGGGACAGACACAGAATTGTTACTGAGGGACACAGAATTTGTTACTGAGGGCCACAGAAACGTTACTTAAGAGGGCCACAGAAACGTTACTTAGGGGCCACAGAAACGTTACTTAGGGCCACAGAAAACGTTACTTAGGGCCACAGAATTGTTACTTAGGGACAGACACACAGAACGTGTTACTGAGGGCCACAGAATTGTTACTGAGGCCACAGAACCGTTACTTAGGGCCACAGAACGTTACATTAGGGCCACAGAAATGTTACTTAGGGCACAGAAACGTTACTTAGGGCTACAGAAACAGTTACTTAGGGCCACAGAATTTGTTACTTAGGGCCACAGAATCGTTACTTAGGGCCACAGAAACGTTACTTAGGGCCACAGAAACTGTTACTTAGGGCCACAGAATTGTTACTTAGGGACAGACACAGAATTGTTACTGAGGGACACAGAATTGTTACTGAGGGCCACAGAACCGTAATTTAGGGCCACAGAAACGTTACTCGTAGGGCCACAGAATTGTTACTCAGGGACAGACACAGAATTGTTACTGAGGGACACAGAATTGTTACTGAGGGACACAGAACCGTTAATAGGGTTACAGAAAGTTACTTAGGGCCACAGAAACGTTACTTAGGGCCACAGAATGTTACTTAGGGCCACAGAACGTTACTTAGCCACAGAAACGTTACTTAGGGCCACAGAAACGTTACTTAGGGACACAGAATTGTTACTCAGGGACAGACACAGAATTGTTACTCAGGGACAGACACAGAATTGTTACTCAGGGACACAGAATTGTTACTGAGGGACACAGAATTGTTTACTGAGGGACACAGAATTGTTACTCAGGGACACAGAATTGTTACTGAGGGACACAGAATTGTTACTACTGAGGGACACAGAATTGTTACTCAGGGACAGACACAGAATTGTTACTCAGGGACAGACACAGAATTGTTACTGAGGGACACAGAATTGTTTACTGAGGCCACAGAACTGTTACTTAGGGCCACAGAAAACGTTACTCAGGGACACAGAATTGTTACTCAGGGACAGACACAGAATTGTTACTCAGGGACAGACACAGAATTGTTACTGAGGGACACAGAATTGTTACTGAGGGACACAGAATTGTTACTGAGGGCCACAGAACTGTTACTTAGGGCCACAGAAACGTTACTCAGGGACACAGAATTGTTACTCAGGGACAGACACAGAATTCTATACTCAGGGACCAGACACAGAATTGTTACTCAGGGGACAAAGAATTGTTACTGAGGGGACACAGAATTGTTACTGAGGGACACAGAATTGGGACCTCAGGGCACAGAATTGTTACCATCAGGGACAAAGAATTGTTACTGAGGGACACAGAATTGTTACTCAGGGACAGACACAGAATTGTTACTGGGGACACAGAATTGTTACTGAGTGAGGGACACAGAATTGTTACTGAGGGCCACAGAACTGTTACTTAGGGCCACAGAAACGGCATCAGGGACACAGAATTGTTACTCAGGGGACAGACAACAGAATTTTTGTTACTCAGGGACCAGAATCGTTGAATTAAAGAGTTGTCAGACAACATGCAGAGGAGTGGCAGAGGAGGCACAGAATTAGGAGCGACAGCACGTGGCAGCAGAGAAGGGGTCGAGGCAGCACTATTCGCAGCCAGGGCCAGTGCTCCCGGTGTCATCCCAGTACAGCTTGGGGCAAGCTAACAGAGGGCGGTCAGGAACGGGGGGAGAACATCCGCCTCTTCAGCAGCCAGGCGAAGAAGTAGTGGTCCAGGACACAGTGGCTCGGGTAGCCAGGTCTAGAGACAGGTCTGTCTCCTGACACACACGCAGCAGAGGGGGCTAGTAGTGAGGCAGGGTGCTGGCAGATTACGGTACTGATAGGCTGACGCACTTGCCATTGCCCCTAATCTGCCAGGCCCCTGAAGTGTTACTCCCTCATCTCAGGAGAAACTGTGGGTCTCAGAAGGGTGGCAGTCCAGCGATTGTCTCCATCGCCCACTCTGCCATGTGCCTACTTTCAGGTCTCCTCACACTGCTGGTGGGTTCAAGAAATTTTTTGTCAAATAGGGTGCTGGCAGATTACGACGGGCCTCCCATAGCTGCTGCCAGGCCCCTAATCTGCCATGGGCCCCTAATACCGCCTCCTCATGCTGCTGCGAAGTCCAGAGTCTCTCATGGGTCCCTGTACGGACCTCCCATTGCTGCTGTCTCCATCGCCACACTCTGCCATGGCCACTTTCAGGTCTCCTCACACACTGCTGGTGTGTTCAATTTTTTGACATAGGGTGCTGGCAGATTACGGGCCTCCCATAGCTGCTGCCAGGCCCCCTAATCTGCCCTGGCCCCTGTACCGCCTCCTCATTGCTGCTGCCGGTGCCACGGGTCCACAGTGTCTCACTCTGCCATGTGCCACTTTCAGGTCTCCTCAACACTGCTGGGTGTCGTTCAATTTTTTGACATAGGGACACGCCCCTGCAGCAGATTACGGGCCTCCCATAAGCTGCTGCCAGGCCCCTAATCTGCCATGGGCCCCTAGAGTACCGCCCTCCTCATGCTGCTGCCCAGGTCCACAGTGTCCTCATGCCATGTGCCACTTTCAGGTCTCCTCACACAGCTGGTGTGTTCCCTTTTTTTGTCATAGGGTGCTGGCAGATTACGGGCCTCCCATAGCTGCTGCCAGGCCGCCCTAATCTGCCATGGGCCCCTATACCGCCTCCTCATGCTGCTGTTAATCAGGGTCCAGAGTCTTCTCATGGGTCCCTGTACGGCCTCCCATTGCTGCTGTCTCCATCGCCACACTCTGCCATGTGCCACTTTCAGGTCTCCTCACACACTGCTGGTGTGTTCCATTTTTTGTCATAGCGAACGGTGCTTGGCAGATTACGGGCCTTTCCCCATAGCTGCTGCCAGGCCCCTAATCTGCCCATGGGCCCCTGTACCGCCTCCTCATGCTGCTAGCTCAGGTCCACAGTCTGTCTCATGCCATGTGGCCACTTTCAGGTCTCCTCACACTGATTGGTGTGTTCATTTTTGTCAATTAGGGTGCTGGCAGATTACGGGCCTCCCATAGCTGCTCTGCAGGGCCCCAAATCTGCCATGGGCCCCTATTCCCGCCTCCTCATCTGCTTAGCCATGTGCCAGAGTCTCTCAATGGTTACGGCCTCCATCCATTGCAGGTCTCCTCGCCACACTGCCATGTGTGTGTTCCTCACACACTGCACTTGCGTGTTTCCCATTTTTTTGTCATAGGGTGCTGGCAGATTACGGGCCTCCCATAGGCTGCTGCCAGGGCCCCTAATCTGCCATGGGCCCCCCTATACACGCCTCCTCATGCTGCTGCAAGTCCAGAGTCTGTCATATCGGGTCCCTGTACTGTCACGCCTCCCATTGCTGCTGTCTCCATCCGCCACAGCCTCTGCCATGTGCCACTTTCAGAGGTCTCCTCACAACTGCTGGTGTGTTCCATTTTTTGTCATTGGGTGCTGGCAGATTACGGGCCTCCCATAGCTGCTGCCAGGCCCGCTAATCTGCAGCCATGGGCCCCTATAAACCGCCTCCCTCATCTGCTGCTGGCAAGTAAGTCACCCCCAGAGTCCGCTCACAGGCGAAAGGTCCCCAGATTTCCTGATGTACGGGGTACTCCCATTGCTGCTCGCCTCATTCAGTCCACACCTGGCGAAAATGTGCCACTTTCAGGTCTCCTCACACTGCTGGTGAACGACGTGATTCCCTTTTTTTGTCATAGGGTGCTGGTCAGGTTACGGGCCTCCGCATAGATTCTGCCATGCCCCTAATCTGCCATGGAGGTAGAGGAACCCGCCTCCTCCAATGGAGCAGCCATGGTGGCCTCAAGTGTCTTCAGGCTATTGCCACTTACCAGCAGTCTCCTCATGAGGGCTGTGACGTTCCATTTTTTGTAAGAGGGTGGCAGCTTGGGCAAGACAGAGGACCCTCCACATGGCAGTCTGCTGCCATCGCCACTAACTCTGCCATGGGCCCATTCAGACACTCCTGCGTGCCAGCCGACATAATCCATCAGCACTGCTGGCACTGTCCACCTGTTCAATATTTTTGGCCTCGGGCCTTAGGCTGCTGGCAGATTACGGGCCACCCATAGCTGTGCACGGGTCCAGGCCCCTAATCTGCCACTGGGCCCCTAGTACGCCGCCTCCTCATGCTGGCTGCCAGGGCAGCTCCACCAGCAGCAGTCTCTCACCATGGACCCTGTACAGCCGCCTCCCATTGCTGCTGTACCTCAAACAACCAGGCTTAGGGCCATCGCACAGTCACTCTGCCCATGTGCCACGACTTTCCCCAGGTCTCCTCAACACTGCTGGTGTGTTCCAATTTTTTGAACATAGGGGCATGTCACCCCCGATTACGCTGGCAGATTGCATCGGCCCTCCCTAGGAATGCTGCCATGAGGCCAGGGCCCCTAATCTGCCTTGCGGCCCCTATACCGCCTCTCAATGCTGCAGCCAGGTCCAGGAGTGTCCTCACATGGGTCCCTGTACGGCCTCCCATTGCTGCTGTCCAACCATCGCCACACTCTGCCATGTGCCACTTTCAGGTCTCCTCACTCACTGCTGGTGTGTTCCATTTTTTTTTGTCATAGGGTGCTGGCAGATTACGGGCCTCCCATAGCTGCTGCCAGGCCCCTAATCTGCCAAGGGCCCCTATACCATACCGCCTCCTCAATGCTGCTGCCAAGTCCAGAGTGTCTCATGGGTCCCTGTACGGCCTCCCATTGCTGCTGTCTTCCATCGCCACACTCTGCCATGTGCCACTTTCAGGTCTCCTCTCACACTGCTGGTTGTGTTCCATTTTTTGTCATAGGGTGACTGGCAGATTACGAGCTTACGGGCCTCCCATAGCTGCTGCCAGGCCCCTAATCTGCCATGGGCCCCTATACCGCCTCCTCATGCTGTTTTATCTGCCAAGTCCAGAGTCTCTCATGGGTCCCTGTACGGCCTCCCATTGCTGCTGTCTCCATCGCCACACTCTGCCATGTGCCACTTTCAGGTCTCCTCACACTGCTGGTGTGTTCCATTTTTTGTCTTTGGGTGCTGGCAGATTTACGGGCCTCCCATAGCTGCTGCCAGGCCCTAATCTGCCATGGGCCCCTGTACCGCCTCCTCATGCTGCTGCCAGGTCCACAGTGTCTCATGCATGTGCCACTTTCAGGTCTCCTCACACTGCTGGTGTGTTCCATTTTTTGTCATAGGGTGCTGGCAGATTTACGGGCCTCCTATAGCCTGCTGCCAGGCCCCATAATCTGCCAATAATTTTTGGGGGGGGGGGGGGGGCCCCTATACCGCCTCCTCATGCTGCTGCCAGGGTTCCAGAGTCTCTCATGGTCCCTGTACGGCTCCCATTGCTGCTGTCTCCATCGCCACACTCTGCCATGTGCCACTTTCAGGTTTCCTCACACTGCTGGTGTGTTTTTTTGTTTTTCTTCCATTTTTTGACATAGGTGCTGGCAGATTACGTGCCTCCATAGCTGCTGCCAGGGCCCATAATCTGCCATGGGCCCCTGTACCCCAGCCTCCTCATGCTGCTCCCGCCAGGTCCACAGTGTCTCAATTGCCAATGTGGCCACTTTCAGGTCTCCTCACTCTGCTGGTGTGTTCCATTTTTTGTCATAGGGTGCTGTGCAGTATTACGGGCCTCCCTATAGCTGCTTGCCAGGCCCCCTAATCTGCCATGGGCCCCTATACCGCCTCCTCATGCTGCAGCAGGTACAGAGTCTCTCATGGGTCCCTGTACGGCCTCCCATTTGCTGCTGTCTCCATCGCCACACTCTGCCATGTGGCCACTTTCAGGTCTCTCACACTGCTGGTGTGTTCCATTTTTTGTCATTAGGGTGCTGGCATATTGGGGGGGGCCTCCATAACTGCCTGCCTGGCCCCCTTAATCTGCCATGGGCCCCTATACCGCATCTTCATGGCCATGCCTGCTGCCAAAGTCCAGAGTCTCTCATGGTCCCTGTAACGGCCTCCATTGCTGCTGTCTCCCATCGCCACAAACTCTGTGCTGCCACTTTCAGGTGGTGCTGGTGTGTTTCCAATCCATTGTCATAGGGTGCTGGCAGATTACGGGCCTCCCATAGCTGGCTGCCCAGGCCCCTAATCTGCCATGGGCCCCTGTACCCGCCTCCTCATGCTGCTGCCAGGTCCCCAGTGTCTCATCATGTGCCATGTGCACTTTCAGGTCACCTCACACTCTGGTGTGTTCCAGGCCCCTTTTTTGTCATATGGGTGCTGGCAGATTACGGGCCTCCCATGCTGCTGCCAGCCCCTAAATCTGCCTTGCCCATGGGCCCCTTTAAGGTCGCCTCCTCATGCTGTCTGCCAAGTCCAGAGTCTCTCATAGGGTCTCCTGTACGGCCCTCCCATTGCTGAAGTCTCCATCGCCACACACTCTGCATGTGCCACTTTCAGGTCTCCTCATTGCACTGCTCATGGTGTGTTCTCATTTTTTGTCATAGGGTGCATGGCAGATTAACGGGCCTCCCATAGCTGCTGCCAGGCCCCTAAATCTGCCATGGGCCCTAATCCGCCCCTATCATGCTGCTGCCAAGTCCAGAGTCTCTCATGGGACCTGTACGGTGTTCCTCCCTTTGCTGGCTGTCTCCCTCGCCACACATAGCTGCAATCCTGCCATAGTGCCACTTTCAGGGCTCCTCACACTGCTGGTGTTGTTCCATTTTTGTCAAAGGTGCTGGCCAGAACGGGCCTCCCATAGCTGCTCGTCAGCCCCTAATCTGCAATGGCTCCCATTACTGCTGGCCGCCACACTCTGCTGCCACTTTCAGGTCTTCCCACACTGATGGTGTGTTCCATTTTTTGTCAAGGGTGCTGGCAGGATTACGGCCTCCCATAGCTGTGCCAGGCCCTAATCTGCCATGGGCCCCTGTACCGCCTCCTCATGCTGCTGCCAGTCCACCAGTGTCTATGCCATGGTGCCACTTTCAGGTCTCCTCACACAGCTGGTGTGTTCCATTTTTTGTCATAGGGTGCTGGCAGATTACGGGCCTCCTATAGCTGCTGCCAGGCCCCTAATCTGCCATGGTGCCCCTATACCGCCTCCTCATGCTGCTGCCAAGGTCCAGAGTCTCTCATGTCCTGTCACTGTACGGCCTCCCCATTGCTGCTGTCGGCCATCGCCACACTCTGCCATGTGCCACTTTCAGGTCTCCTCACACTGCTGGTGTGTTCCATTTTTTTCATAGGGTGCTGGCAGATTACGGGCCTCCCATAGCTGCTGCCGGGCCCTAATCTGCCATGGGGCCCCCGTACCGACTCCTCATGCTGCTGCCAATCTGTCAGGCCCGTTAATCTGTCATGGGCCGCCTGTTGTCGCTTGTTGGCATATTCCGCTTCGTTCAGTTGCTCCTTCTCCTGCTACTCTCTTCACGGATTCCGTCAGCAGTCTTCTTGGAATCACGTTTCCAAAGAGACAACAGTTTGCGAGCACGCACCCGACGGTGAAGAAGCTGAACGTCCTCCTGTCCAAGTTGCTGCTGCCAGGCTCGTAACCCTGTCATGCGCCCCCTGTACCGCCTCCTCATGCTGCTGCCAGGTCCAGAGTGTGTCATGGGCCCACGTACCGACTCCTCATGCTGCTGCCAGGCCCGTAATCTGTCATGGGCCCCTGTACCGCCTCCTCATGCTGCTGCCAGGTCCCCAGAGTGTGTCAGGGGTCCCTGTTCGCGCCTCCCATTTGCTTCTGTCTCCAATTGCCACACTCTGCCATGTGCCACTTTCAGGTCCTCCTCACACCCTGCTGGTGGTTTCATTTTTGTCATGGGTTCTGTATGTATCCTCCCATTCATCTCTACCAAGGATGGCTGGGAATTGTAAAAAGGAGATTTATTCAGAGTGGGATTTATTCTTAACGAAGCATCAACACTCAAAATGTAAATGGCTGTGCCTATGTATGTGCAAAAGTTCCAATGTACACTTTTTTGTCACTGTTGTCACTTTCAAGTAATTGTAGCCCCAAAAAGCAAAGGAGAGTAAAATGTCCCTTTGTTTAGAAAGTTAGGAGACCCCCGCATAATGGATGTTCAACCTGTGGCCCTATAGCTGTTATGGAACTGCCCCATCATGCCTCATCCTTTGGGAGTCATGCTTGTGACTGTCAGCCTTGCAATACATCATGGGACTTGTAGTTCTACAACAGATGGAGGCCCACAGTTTGAACATTGCTGTGTCTGAAAATATTTTTATTACAAAAAACAAACAAAAACACCAGTCTAAATTATGCTATGCTTTTTCTTTATTATATTCAGTTCAGATACATATTTCTACTTTTTTAACAAGATGCACAAAGCCTGAAAAAATTACCAAACATAATATTCCAAAATTACCTCCACATTCACAACGTAAAGATTATCTGTCTCCCTTTTTCTCTTTATGCATGGCAGCTGACCTTCAGGAGACATAAAATATGAACAGAGAGTATCCTGCATAGCGGCACCACTCCTGCTGCCCTGAGTTGCTGTCAGTGCTGTCAGCTGTTGTCATTGTATTATTGTCAAGCGTGTCCTCAAACTGGGAGCCATCACGTTCCCAAATAAAATTGTGTAGAGCACATGCTGCTTTAACATCCTTTTTTTCGGTGTTCAAAGAGTGTCTGGAAAAAGGCATTAGAAGGTGTTCACCTAGTGCGAACGCTTCATTCCCCACAAAGATATACAGCATAGCAGGACCATTTGTTCCCAGAAGTGGACTGTTGACTGGAAGGGCCATTCTGTTTCTGTTTGTTGTAGCAGCTGCCCAAAAGTGGAGTGTGCAAATATACTGGAATCTGAACTTTTGCCGTAGGACTAGGGTTTTTTTTTCAGCGGGAACGTGGGGGAACACAGTTCCAGCACCTCCAGCACTGAATGTATGAAAAAAAGCCCTGCGTAGGACCCCATATAGCAATACGGCCACGCCAACGAGCACAAAAGAAAAATATTTTTTGTAGTTGTAAAAGCTGCTGCCATTGGCTACTGGCTGCAGTATGCAGATATATTTCCCATCTATTGCACTCACGCAATTGGGAAAATTACAGCACTGCCAGAAGACATCAGCTATCTTTGCCCATTCTCCTGCTGTTGATTTCTGAAAGACCACATCTTTAATTACTTCCCAAATGACAGAGTAGGTGTCCTGGACAATATATTTCCCGATTTACAACCAAAAGCTCAAAATGCAGACTTGAAATTGAATGTCCAGTTGCAAAGTATCTGAAAATAAAAAATACTTATTTTATGTTTTGCAGTAAAATATTTGCAGATGGAAGTGTGTCAAAGATAGTTATAACAGTGTTTTTAAAAAAGGACGTAGTGGTTTGGGTGCAATGTCCTTCACACCGTACTCATATGCAAAGGACCTTGAATTTTTTAAACCCATTCTGGAGATGAGAAGGTAAGCTAAGATCAAAGGTTATCTTTCATATGTATATCTTTTCAATTATTAAAATAAATAAAATTACATTTTATTTTTATTTTGCATTTGCAGCACAAACAGATGCTGGAACAACGATCCTGATGCAGAAGACCCCTTAGCGCAAACACAGGAGGCTCAAAGTGCAGGATCACCTAATTCACAAATGACAGAGAAGGCTTTGGAAGAGGAAAAGGAGGAGAGGGGGAATGCTGCACCATTGCCCAGTTGGCCCACATCTAAAAGGGGAGGTGGACCAAAATAGGCATCTGAAAAAGAGTGATAAATTCTTTGCTTTATTAAATGAGCTGAACGTTATGTTGAAAGGTCAAACAACAATCTCGCAACAGTTTGTGAATACACTTGTTCCATATTTTGATTAGGTCCCCCCGATAATAAAAAAATGTAAATGAAGATTGCAATGATGCAATGCATTGAATCTTTTATCCCCAGTGCCCAACCCAGTGCCCAGCCAGCCAGACCGCTGCTTTAACATTGCATCTACAGTTGGTCCACCAGTATCACATTTTGTAGTACCACATGTGGCAAATAGGGGGCCACCTTACACTTTTCCACATGTTCCACATAAAGCTAAGGAAGAGCGCTTTGTTGAAAGTGTACATTCTATGTCCTCCAATCAATCAGAATCATCCCAGGAGGAATTCACATACCATAGTTTTTTGAGTTTTCGAAATGTGAACAAAAAAACTATTTTTTTAATAAATATGCTTCAAATAAAATAATTACTGTATACACAATGGGCTATACAAGTTATACATTTTCTGAAAAATAAAAAATAAAATAAATGAAAAAAAATATTTTATAGCCACAAAACATCAAAGGAATTTTTTTTTTTAAATAAAAAATGGGCTAAGTGTTATAGAAGTTATTGGTTTTGGATAAAAAAAATGTTAATAAAAAAGTTATTTTGGACATTGCAAATTTACCAGTGTCCTATTCATTTGCTTACTGTTCAGCACAAAAATAAACATACTTACATCAATGTAATAATTAGCCTTTCAAGTGGTTGAATGCTGTCCCTCTTCTGACCTTGCAGCTTGCTGCTGAGTAAACCTAACAAATCATCAAAACTGTGTGGGAAAAAATTACTGATATAACCTAAAACACAATGTGACCTATGTAAGCACCTACATACAGCCAATTTTTTTCATGGGTCTGCACTTGAGTGGGTAAGGATTAGGATTAGTGTTAGGGTTGGGATTAGGGTTAGGATTAGGATTAGAGTTGGGGTTGGAATTAGGCCATTTTGAAAATCATGAATTTACCTTTTAACAGACATACATGTGTAATTAAGAAACTTTTCTTCATGTGCTTGGAGGTCATTGTAAATTACCCAGAAATGTCTTCTCTGTTCCCTATTGGCAATCACTGGATACACCCAATATCTTCACTTCCTCCTCTGTTCCTCAGCTTCCTCTTTCAGCAAGACTGCAGCAGTAGCTGTGGATGCAGCTAGAAAAAAACCAACATTGCAGCCATAATAATCCACACAAAAACACACACAAAGGACAGGGTGGAAGCAGGAAGTAAAAATGTGATCTGACATCCTGTGAGATATAAGCAGTGATTTATCCCAATTGGCCAAAAAAAAAAAAAAAAATCAAAATTAAATGCGCAAAACGCATCAAAAACATGTCAAAAGCGCAAAACGAACAGCAGAATGCACTGTAGAACGCATCAATCGCAAATTACATACATATGAACTAAGCCTTAAAACGTGGTGTCATCTGTCCACCTCTCCAACTCGCCACTCAGAAAAAGCCCTGTGTTCCATAAAATATGATGAAACACAATGGGGTCGATCTACTAAAGGCAAATATACTGTGCACTTTATTTTTCACATTACTTGATCAGTTCATATTGGATTGGGATTTTTTATTTTATTTATTTATTCTTTTTTATTCTATTTATTTATTATCTTTTTACACACACACATATATATATACATATATATATATATATATATACACCCACCCCTTTTTTACCAGGAGATTTTTTAGATCATTGTTCTATTGGATTTATATTTTTATTACTATTTTTTCTATATGTTTTATTTTATTAATTTGCCTGGTACTTTCTATAAGGTAACAACAACAATAGTGGTATGGTTGTATGTGTTGGTTAAAATTCCATCATTTGGAATTTTTGGCAGTGGCTTTTTATTCATACTGTGTGTATATACACTGGGAGTCCTACATTCGGTATAATTTAGGTGTCCTCTGTTTGACGCTTCTATAATATGGATCATTTACTCTTCCTGTAGCTCCGAACATTTCGTAAAGGCATTTGAGCTGTTCAGAGCTTTATGATGGAGAAGTGATGATGCACTTCAGGTCCCAAACTTCCGTTCCTGAGCTTCTGGTTTGCGTTCCACTACCTGGCAGAGTCGTTCCAACAGACTTGTGAGTGCAGCAGACAGCCATGATCATACAAAATAGCCTGTAAATAATACAGGACGATACTTGCACAGCTCTTTTTTTTTATTTTAGAAAAAAATACAACTTTAACTCTAGCATCGACTTTTAACCTCCCTGGCAGTATGATTATTTCAGATTTTTGGTGCTGAAAGCGGTACCATTATTTTGCATGGAAATTTGGCGTTTTATATTGTAGGCCTGTAATTCTTAGGATTAACTCACTGAAATCTGTCCGAACAAGAGTCTAGTAAACATCCCGGGTAGGATAAAACTTGAAACACAAAATCATAAATTATAATTTAATCAATAATCATAAAAAATAATAATATAATAGTAAATTTAATTCAATAGTATAATCAAACCAAAAACACTGAAATTTGAAATATAGTGCCAAGTTCGCACATCGCTGAGCAAAGTCGCAGAATTGTTTTCAGTGTCTGATGATGAATTTCCCACGAATCATTATCACTTAATTCTGCAAGTACTTCTAAT